GCCTCCCAAGTAGCTGGGACCACAGGTGCCCGCCACAACGCCCGGCTGTTTTTTTGGTTGCAGTCGTCATTGTTGTTTGGCAGGCCCAGGCTGGATTCGAACCTGCCACCTTAGGTTTACGTGGCTGGCGCCTTAGCCACTTGAGCCACGGGCGTCGAGCCAGGCCCAGTTCTTTTCAGGAAGTCCCCTGAGAGCCACTGCCAAGGATTTCTTTTCTGCCTTCTCTTGGCTGCACTCCCCGACCCCCTAGCTTTCCCCTGCCCTTAGTGGCTGCCCTGTTCCTTTCCCTATCTCCAGCCTCACCTGCAGGAGCAGCTCCCTCAGGCGCTGCAGCTGGGACTCTAACTGCTTATTGTGGTCTTCAAGGATCTGCATGCGTGTCTCCAGGCGGCTCTTGTGCTGCCGAAGGATCCGAGCCTCGGCCAGAAGCTCCTCATTGTGCTGGTCTGCTGCTGCCTCGGTGGAGCCCTCAGCCAGGGTAGGTGCCTCAGCAGCCTCCTCATGCTGCCACTTCAGGCGCCTCAACTCTCCCTGGAGAATCCTGCCAAGGACACAGAAGCCAAGGCCTATATGAGCCCAACAGGGTGCTGACTGTCCAGGTACCAGATGTCCTCTTGGGCCTAGGTGTACTCTCTCACCCCACGCCATCCCCAGCACACTCTTGCTTGAGTAGCTAATCCACTTCCTGTCCAGCACATATGTCATTGACTCTGCCATCCTGAGACCTCAGAGCAGGGGAGCTGACATTTCACATAAGAAATGTCTCAGGGCTTTGATGCGCTGCTGTGGGGATTAATTCTGACCTTAAACTCAGGCAGAAACACAGTCTGCAAATAAATGGGGCCTTAGGGCTACTGACTCACCTAGTCCATTTTTAGAGTTTTAGATCCCAGGGAAAGATGTAACATAAACAAGAGACCACCTGTCTTATGTGTTTTCTCTATAACCCTTCTCTTTGGGCCACTTTGAACACTCATTTTGGGTCATTAAGGAAATAGATTCCAAAGAGATGGACTACCTCAGGGGATATCACTTTCTTTTGCAACAGAACAGAGTTGCCCAATGTTTCCCAGGGCCCTCCCACTGCTGCTCTCAGGCTGTGTTTCTCTAACTATTCATAGGGAAAACCCATGGTTTTCTTCACTCCTTTGTGGACCAATATGTGATCCTCATGCACCCGACTAGTACACAGCTCATGTCATGCACAACTCGACACAAAAGGCCAACAACATTCCAACTGGTCTATTTTCAGTAAGATGAGATCACTAATTCTGTGCTTAAATATCATGCTACTGTAATAGTTTCTAAGATCCTAGTTTACATCTGCATCTATCTTGTCCCGGACTAGTGACAAACTGGTCATAGGCTGGCCCTGGTCTGCCCTCCACACTCTGTTTTTTTTTTAGAGACAGAGTCTCACTTTATCACCCTCGGTAGAGTGCCATGGCGTCACAGCTCACAGTAACCTCCAACTCCTGGGCTTAGGCAGCCTCCCAAGTAGCTGGGACTACAGGCACTCGCCACAACGCCTGGCTATTTTTTGTTGCAGTTTGGCCAAAGCCAGGTTTGAACCCGTCACCCTCGGTATATGGGGCCAGCACCCTAGCCACTGAGCCACAGGCGCCGCCCTGCTATCATTCCTACTTTATGGAGATTCATGACGTCCCTGTAATCTTCACCCTCCTTCTTTGAGTCCTGAGATACTGTGTAGCGTCATGGTCCCCTGGGATGCTTCCACTAGATGATAACCATCTCTTTCCACTTCTAACAGTAAAAGTTCTCTGAGGGCAGCGACATGTCTTACTCTCTTCTATATTCTCTGTCCTGGTATTCTCTCTGCTTTCATCTAATGTGGAAAAATAGGGATTTAATTTAAAAGATCGAAACAATCCTTATAATAGCTAACATTTATTGAGCCCTTATTATAAGCCAGGCACTGGGATAATACATTATATGCCTGATCTCATTTAGTCTTCACAAGTGACCATGGCCTGTGGCTCAAAGGAGTAGGGCACTGGCCCCATATACTGGAGGTAGCAGTTTCAAACCCAGCCCCGGCCAAAAACAAACAAATAAAAAACAAATGACCCTAGGAGGTAGGTTCGATTATCATCATCCCTATTTTATTTTATTTTTATTTTATTTTTTGAGACAGAGTCTCAAGCTGTCATCCTGGGTAGAGTGCTGTGGCATCACAGCTCACAGCAAACTCCAACTCTAGGGCTCAAGTGATCCTCTTGCCTCAGATTTTCAATTTTTAGTAGAGATGGGGTCTCGCTTTTGTCAGGTTGCTCTTGAATGCGTGAGCTCAGGCAATCCACCCACCTTGGCCTCCCAGAGTGCTAGGATTACAGGCACATCATCCCTATTTTAAAGACAAGGAAATAGAGGATCACAGAAAATAATTCACACAATTAGGATGCAGAAGTGCCAAGACTTAAATACATGCTGTCTGCCTTGAGAACCCACAGAGATTTGTACCATCATCACACCCACCGGTTCTCATCTTCCAAGTGGGCCAAGATCTTCTCTAGGTCCCCCTTGCTTTCTGTGGCCATGCTACATGGAGCCTGCTGCCCAAAGGCCAGCTCCCGGTCTGTGATGGGGCTGGAGTGCCGCAGCAGGTACTGGTCCTCATCTCTGCATGGGTTTGGGGAGAGGAAAGGAGGTAGTCAGGTGTTAAACAGAAAAACAGATCTAGACATGGATTCTTGGCTCCAAGCCCAGGCCCCAGGAGATGCATGCTGGAGGATTTACTTCTAAGTCACATCAAGAGGGAAGGCCATATATTCAGGCTTGAGAGGGATGAAATTGTTCAAAGATGGCAGAGGCTGTGGTTGGGGGTACCAGGAGATAGTGTTTTCAGGATGCTGGGGTTTCTGCATTCTGCTTATTAACTCCCTTCTTTGTTTCCTCCTCCCCCAGAGGGATCTGATCAGTCAGAGCCAGATTGAGCCATGTAGCCAGCAGTTCCTAGGCCTCTGAGCAAGATGGGGAACTTCCTAGACATGCAGGGAGTCCCTTTGGCTATATTTTAGTTAGGTCCCTGATGTCTCCTAAGGTTGGTGCAAAGGATGTAACATTGTAACAGGAAGATACCTGGGAAGATGGTAGGGAGATTAGTACATCATTCATTCTCTACCTCAGTTGATTGAAAGAAGGGAATTTTTTTTTTTTTTGCAGTTTTTGGCCAGGGCCAGGTTTGAACCTGCCACCTCCAGTATATGGGGCCGGCACCTTACTCCTTTGAGCCACAGGTGCCGCCCAGGAAAATGGATTTTTTTATTAAATACTTTGTCCAGAAAACAGGAAGGAAGGTTGGGAGTCAAGGACCCTAACCACCAGGCTTCCCATGCCCTAGAGGATGCATCCTTCCTAAATGGTGGCAGAAGGATCCCAAGGAGAGCTATTTTTGGAAAATAAGCAGCTGTGGAAACTTACATGCTGTCATCTGGGGAAAGGCTGTCATTAAAGAAGGAACAATTTTGACTTTCCATCTCAGCAAGCCTAAGAAGAAAGAGCAGAAACAGGAGAGAAAACAGGAAGTGGGGGGTGATTTCACCACAAGGATTCTTATCCCACAACAGGACCATTGGCTTTGGAAGCTGCCTTAACTACCCCCAAGTGTTGGACCTCACTGGCTGCTGAATACTCTACTATGCACATCTCCTGGCCCTGACTCCATTCTCCTTGCTACAACTCAAAAGCCCTTCCACTTGAACTTCCTACAAACCCCACCCCTCCCCACCTCCACTTCCCGCAAACCTGGTGGTACCTGCTGGCAAAATGCTCAATGCGGGAGTGTGTGTCTGCATGTGGCAACATTGGGGAAGAAGCCGGCCTAGAAGAAAGCAGCAAAGACTCAGAAGACCAAAGACTGGGCAGCCTGTTTTCTCCCCTCCCACCACACACATTATGGAGATGAGCAAGAGCTAATAGGATACACAGGCTGGATGCCAGTCTATTTCTCAAGCCAGAATCCAGGTCAGGCCCAAGCTGAACTGTCCAGTCACTAGTAGGATTTACCCTGGAACACTCCCCTAGCCCACCTGGCACTCAGCCCCTTGACAGCACACAATCAGGTTCAGTGAGGCTGCCCGCAGCCCCTGCTCAGCCACTGGTACTCACGTCTCACTGTAATCAGCCTCCAGCACTGATTGCACAGGCAGATAACCTCGCTGAGGGTGCTTGCTGAAATAATGCTTTGAACGAAATTTGTTCTTTAAGGTTGTGGCAAAATCCCTCATGTTCTCACTGGATGTGGTCTGGTGGGGAGGGAGAGACAGAGCAGAAGGACTCACCCTAATGGCTTCCAGATGCAGGTGTGGCTCCTCCCCTAGAGCAGAAGCATGACAAGGAATCCACTCTTGCTCATGCCTACCACAGCGGCTGCATGATAAAGATGTGGAAGGCTATGGGCCAAAGTGTGAACACTGGTTGCCTCTGAGGAGTTGGACTCAACAGGTGTGGAACAGAGTGAGGAGAGAGGGGAACTTCCCTTCTAGACTTTAAAAACCTCTTTACAACCTGAATCTTTTACGATGTTAAATTTATTTATTTATTTATTTATTTAGAGACAGAGTCTCACTTTGTCACCCTCGGTAGAGTACTATGGCATTACACAGCTCACAGCAACCTCCAGCTCTTGGGCTTAGGGGATTCTCTTGCCTCAGCCTCCCCAGTAGCTGGGACTACAGGCACCCGCCACAACGCTGGGCTATTTTTTTATTGCAGTTTGGCCGGGGCTGGGTTCAAACCTGCCACCCTTGGTATATGGGGCCGGCGCCCTAATCACTGAGCACAGGCGCCGCGCCATGTTTGTTAAATTTTATAATAGCTTTTTTTGTAACTTCTAAGGATAGAGAGGATAAACAGGAAGTATAAGGTTATCAGTCAACCATCTCCAGCCACTTTCCATGTATAACTTTTATTATATTTTCCCTAAGATGATAATAAATGAAAAGTAAAGGGCGTTGTCCCTGTTCCCATTAGGTCGCATAATTCTGTGCCAAAAGAATTTGCAGAGGTGATGTCTTAGAAAGATGGATTATGGGAAAATGGGCTAAAATATGTGATGGAGGGTGGAGGAAGGAGTGAAGGGGAAGGCTGGGAATATTATTGGGGCTTTAGGAGAATATGTGGGGACAGAAAGGGATAGAGACACGTAGAGAGCGGAGTCAGCTCAGGAAGCTATGCAGAGCTCATGCAGCTCTGGGTATTGAACACAGCACAGGAGCAAATCTGTGGCTGCAGTTCAGGGATGCTGATCAACCTAGACTATGAAGGGCATGGCTGCCAGGGAAAACCAAGTGGAGTTTGGGGCCCATTAAAGAACATACCTTCCCCCCACCCCCAAGGGATTGATTTCAGCATAAAGTTTGGTATTGACTAGAAGGGATGAAAACATTGACAAAGTAATAGGAAAAGGCCAAGTAACCCAGTAGAGGAACAGTATAGGAACCTAGGCAAGAAAAACTCAAGTGAGCAATGGAAGGTGAGTCACCTGGAACTGTCTTGCCCTCTGTGTTTTTTTCCTGAGACTTTACTATGCAGTAAAATAGTGAGTGCTCTCTAAAGAGCTAAGACTGTCCTAGGCCAGCAGTAGCCTAGTCCCTGGCAGTAGTGAGGGAGAAGCTATGCTAGAATAATAGAGTGGCCAGAATCCCTTAAACCAGTGAATGACTAGGGCTGTTTAGAGAACACTTCCCATAGGAGAGCTGAACACATTGAGCCAATGCTGAGCAGAGTGGATGTAGGTCTAGTACCTGAGAGCTGCCCACCCCTCCCACCCAGCACGGGGCTCTATACCGGTGTATAATACTCCATGATGGGGTAGTGCAGCTTGTTGCCTTTGCTAGCCCTGCCTGTTAAGAAGCAGGTCTGGCAGATGTCGACATTAAATTGTTTCAGACTCCGGTACCTTGGAGAGAGGAGACATGGTAGGGATGAGAATCCAGTGTGCTACCATACCTCCCCTCTGTTCCCCAAACATCAAAATATACACAAACATTAGAAGGGAGTGAGGCATGGAGCCATAACATGACCAATGTCCTATATATAGCAGTGGCTGAGTCCTCAGTAGATACACAGCCTTTTATTAAAATTTCAGGGGTTTTCTAAGCTGGTTGTAGAGATCGTAAATCTCCATGAAATCACAAGCCCAGGTTCTGAGGAAGCAGGGGAAATAGCATTATCTTACCATCTTTGTTTAAAGGTGGTGGGGAGGAGCAGAAGTAAAGATTTCATTATATCAAGTCTAGGCTCCCAGGTATCACTACCTACCTTGGAAAAGTTACACTTTAAGGACAAAGTCAGTTTATTCCACAAGCCTTGTATAAGTTGGCCAGAAGTTTTTTTTTTTTTTTTGAGACACAGTTTCACTATGTCACCCTCAGTAGAGTGCTGTGGCATCCCAGCTCACAGCAACCTCAAACTCTTGGGCTCAAGCGATTCTCTTGCCTCAGCCTCCCAAGTAGCTGGGACTACAGGCACCCACCACAAAGCCCAGCTATTTTTTGTTGCAGTTGCCATTGTTGGTTAGCTGGCCCAGGCAGGGCTTGAACCCACAAACTTTGGTGTATGTGGCTGGTGCCATAACCACTGTGCTACGGGCCTACAAGTTATTTCTGAAGGTTATTTATAATAACTCTATTATTACAGACCTATTTCCAAAGCCTGGCTTAACTGCTGAGACGTAGCAGCATAAAACAGTGAAATGCCTAGATGTAGAGAAGTCAGATGAGCCAATATCTACTCCTGGATCTCCCACTAACTAGTTGTCTGAACTTGGGTGAATAGCATTCCACAATTTTTTTTTTAGAGACACAGTCTCACTTTGTCACCCTCTGTAGAGTGCTATCCTGTCATAGCTCACAGCAACCTCTAGCTTTTGGGCTTAGGCAATTCTCTTGCCTCAGCTTCCCGAGTAGCTGGGACTATAGGCGCCTGCCACAATGCCCAGTTATTTTTGTTGCAGTTTGGCCAGGGCTGGGTTTGAACCCACCACCCTTGATATATAGGTTAGGTGCCCTACTCACTGAGCCACAAGCGCTGCCTGCATTTCACATTTTATAAAAAGCAGAGTGGTTGTAAGAAAGAGTTGAGTGTTAATGGTTTAAAAAGTCAAAAAGTTGGGCAGCCCCTGTGGCTCAAGGAGTAGGGCACCGACCCCATATGCTGGAGATGGTGGGTTCAAACCCAGCCCCAACCAAAAAAAAAAAAAAAGTCAAAAAGTTGAGCATTTTATGATTAAAGCCAAATTTAGGATAATAGTTACCTTTGTTGGTGGAAGGAGGGGAAAGCAATCACAGAAACCTCAAATGTATCACAATAGTATTTTATTTCCTTAAGCTTTGTTGTAGGTATATACTGTGGTATGCTGAGGCCAAGTCATACTAGCTCACAAGGGCTGGCTTAAAATTTCAGGGGTTTTCTAAGCTGGTTGTTACATACAGCCATTATTAAAAATTAAACTACATAACTCACAATTAAATAAATGATTTTTAAAAGGTAAGAAATCCTCAGTGTGCTCTCACCTAACAAGCACAATGTAAGGGTACATGGCACCTCTTAAGCGAGGGGCACAACTACAGCTTGGACTTTACCTAACAAATGCAAACAATATAACCTAACAGTCAGTACCCTCATATTAATCTGAAATTTTTAAAAAAGGAAAAAAAAAGAAATACTCAAAACTCATCACTTCCTAATTACTTTACTATTATCTATGCTCTTGGGGTTACCTATCTCTCTATCTAATTTTGAGACAGGGTCTCACTCTGTCACCCAAGCAGTAGTACAGTGGTACAATAATAGGTCACTGCAACTTCCAACCCCTGGGCTCATGAGATTCTCTGACCTTAGCCTCCCAAAGCGCTGGGATTACAAGAGTGAGCCATTGTGCCTGGCCTCTTGAGGTTATTTACACTGACTGTATGTGCATGGTGGAAATATAATACTATAAATGATGTACAACTGAGCATTTCTTCTCAACTCTGCTCAGAGACTTACTGTAGGTAGCCTGACATCAGCCACAGTGGGAGTTTATAGCACAGAAATTAGCAAATACTACAAATCAGATTTCCTTTTTTCTTTCTAGAGAGTATGGATTTTTTTCTCTACATTGCTTTTATGTTATGGCAAAGAGAAGGGAGTATTTGACATACTGTATTTTTGTGTGTGTGTGTGTGTGTTTTTCAAAATATTAAGGGGGTACCTAGAGAGTAGGTTGTGAAACATTTGCAGCATACCATTTGGTACATAGGGGTTCTTATAGTGCCCGCTATACGTTTCTGTAGGTCTGTAACACTTCCTAATACAACTAAAACAAAAAACTTCATCATTTCCATTTTTTAAAAAAATTAAACATCCTTCGATGAAAGGATTACAACAACATATAACGTAGTAGATTAACTGTAATTATATAAGTATGTCATGCATCGTTTTATAATATCTGATTTGTATGTCACATGACATATTTATTTTCAACCTAACAGGTATTGTTTTCCTTACCTGAATCCCTTGATGGGGCACTGCCTACAGATAGAGCACTTAGTCTGATGCTTCACTTGCTCAGCAATGGTGACCCGATGCAGAACAGCCAACCACACCATGGACTGGGGCTCCAAGTTGACCCACTCCAGGAACTGGGAAGCTTCAATGACTGGCTTCCCTGTGCTCTAGGGAAACAAGAAGCCCAATGGGAATGATTGATGCCCAAGTGTCTGTAGAATGACAGCCCTCAGAGGAGCAGGGGAACCAGCAGGGCCTGGGTTAGCCTATTTTTCAGAGGTGTTCTCTTTCTGTTCCACTCTCGCTGAGCTGCCACTCTCCCCAGTAGGACTCTGACCCTAGAACCTAAAGAACCTTCTGCCCTTTTGTCCTGTTCCAACAAACTCCCTTACATCTCAGTACTTCAGATCAAAAGCTTAGCTCTTAGTCCTCCTTCCCTCCCTCCTGTCTCCCTTTCCCTCCTTCCTTCCCTCCCCAGTTCCATACTCACAAAACGGAAGCAACTACGAACACTGGGCTCCACGTTGCTGCCCCCAAAGGCTGCTACTTCACCCAGCTGACGGGGCACCTGAATGGCCTCATGAAGCAGGACACCAAGGTGGCGCTGGTCACACTGGCTGCCTGAGTTGGCCACTTGGCTGAAGAGGTCTGCTGGCCCCACCATCAAGAATGGCCACCCCAGTGCAGCAATGGCCAGAAAACGGCATGAGGAGAAAGGGCAGAAAAGACAGGGCAAGAGCACACAGACGGAGTTAATGTCTTTTGCAACTGGAATACTTAGAGATCCATCCCTGACCCTCTAAGAGCCCAGGAGTTTTATAAAGAGCATTCTTGTTATTCAGAGAGAAAAAAAGACAGAGACGAAAAGAGAGCATCAGGAAGAGAGGGAGAGAGAAAGATGAAAACAGAGAGACAGGGAGCTGTGTGTAAGAGCAGAGCCAGACGCAGATATGACACTTGTGGGAAAACAGATTCCTCAAGAAGCAAGATGAGGGGGTGTGGTCTCAGGGTGCCTGAACATGAGTCACGGTTGAGCTGCTGCACCCCCTCCTGTAGCTCATATGGTCTGACAATGCAGTCATCTTTCAACTGTCCACACAAATGGAAGGAAACATAGGCACTGGATAATCCAAAAAGAGCTAATTCAAAGCTCTATCCAGCTCATCTCAAAGGAATTTTGGGAGAAACAAATAATATCACAGCCATGAATATGCTTGGGAAAGTTCCCTTCTCTGTAAAGTTTTCCCAGACCATCGTCATCTGTCTCTCCTCTGTGACCCGATATAGCACATATCCTTTGCCATTTGGGATTATTCTCATTGGTACTTTCTGAACAATGCTTCCTGTGTATTTCTGTCTCCTCCTCTGGACTGTAAACCACTTGAAGCAGGGACTGTGTCTAATTTAACCTAGCATTCACCCCATTTAGCAAAGTGGTCTATACATGTTAGGACTCAACAACTAATGATGCTGCTGCTGAAACATTCAAAATGCTGAACACAAGATGGAGGAGAGAGAGGAAAGCAAAGGTACCATAAACCAGAGAGGTGAAAAACTACAGAAGTATATACTGTTCACCTCCCAGATAATGGGGCTTATTGCACACTGCCCATGTAATGACACGAAAGTCTCTAGTGGACTGTGTGACATGGTTTCAGACTGGGGGAAAGCTAAGCCTGGAATGCTTCAGGGAAATACACTAGAAAGTCAGGGCTCTGGATACCCCAGGACACCAATATCAATCCTGGCTAAGTACTTACATCAGATCAGAAGAAGCCAAGCCCCTTGGAATGACATCGGCAGTCATTCCAGTGTCACTGGCCTTTGGCTATCATGTGTTCTTTGCAATAGCCTGGACCAAATAGCATCACAAGTGGGAGGTGCCTGTGGCTCAGTGCGTAGGGCACCGGCCCCATATACTGAGGGTGACGGGTTCGAACCTGGACCTGGCCAGCTAAAATAGCAGTGGCAACTGCACCAAAAAATAGCCGGGTGTTGTGGTGGGTGCCTGTAGTCCCAGCAACTCGGGAGGCTGAGACAAGAGAATCACCCTAGCCCACGAGCTGGAGGTTGCTGTGAGCTGTGACAGCACAGCACTCTACTGAGGGCGACAAAATGAGACTGTCTCAAAACAAACAAACAAACAAATAGCATCACAAGGTAGACCAGCCAGCCCCCTGCTGAGTCATAAGACCTACCACTGGCTTATCTTACTCTCTTCTTTCTCCCTACAAGACTTCCACCTCCACTCAACGCCACTTTAGACTTTGGGGTTGTACTCACACTGAAGTTTTTCCTTCACTTCTGTGCCACACAGGCATGCAATGCCAGTCTTAAAGGACAATGCCCGCATCTTTCCGCTGCGACCACTAGGTTTAAAAGAAGAGACTGAGAACATGAATATATATAAAGGGTTAACATTTTGGCAGTCACTTCCATCACAGAGTTGATCCCAGCCCAGCCCTGTGCCAACTATGCCCCAAGCTGAGCTGGGTCCAAGTCCCCCATGGCAGCAATCTCTTTCCACCATTCCCACTCAAGACATCCCATTGATTTTTTTTTTTTTTTGAGACAGATTCTCAAGCTCTCACCCTTGGTAGAGTGCCATGGCATCACAGCTCACAACAACCTCCAACTCCTGGGCTTAAGCGATTCTCTTGCCTCAATCTCCCAAGTAGCTGGGACCACAGGTACCCACCACAACGCCTGGCCATTTTTGGTTGTAGTTGTCATTGTTGTTTGGCAGGCCCAGGCTGGATTTGAACTCGCCAGCTCTGGTGTATGTGGCTGGCACCTTAGCCGCTTGAGCTATAGGCGCCAAGTCCATCCCATTGACTTTTATCCTGGAGGCTTCCAGAGTTAAAAGGCCTTACCTATCAAAAACATTGAGGAGCCAGTTGAGGGTCATGTCCACACAGAGTGGCACATTGACCAGGATGCCTCTTTCCTCCTCAAGCCGCTCATATAAGGCGGTCAGGCAGTGGATGACCTCCACCACATCCATCACGTGCTCACTGGCTTGCAGATCATGCTCATTGAAGACCTCCAGGGCTGTGGTTAAAGTTACCAGGTCCACTGGGAAGGAGAATAGAAAGGAAAAAAAAAAAAAACATAGCCAGAAGTAGAACTCCCAGGATTAGATACTAAGATAACACAACCAGCGTTACCAAATTTGATTCGGTCTCCAGAACAACCATTTGCAGGTATGTTACAAGCTTATCCTTTACCAAGACCCTCATCCCAAGGAAGGGAGGGCAGCAAAAGGTGCTTCAAATTAACCCAACCTATTCTTATAACCCTATGTTCTTTGATACCAGTTTTAAAAGATGATGTGATGTGAGTAAATTCATCCCTTATGTTGTATTAACTCCTAAGGGAATCAAATCTCATTTTAAGTTTCTCTGTCTTTACCTAAGTTTCATTTGCAAATAGGTTTGTCCATGAGCCATGTTCTGAGAACCTAAACACCAGCTATGAAGGCTTAGGTATGGCTGGGGAAATGTGATATATATCAGAAGGATGGTTTAGTACTAGCCAGATGTGCTTGAGCCAGGAAACTTTTTTTAATTTTTTTTTTATTTTTTTGAGCCAGGAAACTTTAATAAAAAGTGTTTATGAGAAAGGCTAGAAGGCATATAATATCTACAGCCATACTGTTCCCTAACCACTAGCATTTTCTTTAAATGTTCTGTTTGCTACATCCAGTAACCCCAAGATGGCAACCATGGGCTGGGATACTTCCTATCACAAAGAAGTTGCTTGATTATCCATGTTGGTTAGGGGAAAAGGGGCAGGTGGAGGATAACTGTAGGGTTAGTTTGGAAACATATCTGGGGCTTAGGGAAAATGGAAGGGCCCTGAAAAGAGCAGATGTTCACAGCCAGCATATTCCAGCCTTTGGAGAGTTTCTATCACGCCAATCAACAACCCTGACCAAGGTGGGATGAAAGTGGGAAACAGCAGACAGATGAGGAACAGAAGTAAGGGAGTGAAAGCCATAGGGAAGTATGACAGGAGACGTACAGCGCAGGGCCTTCTGGACTCTGCGGAGCTTCATGGCAGTGCGATAAGCTGAGAACTTAATGTTGTTCAGATCAGCTGCAAAGAATGGAGAGAGACCCACTCAGATCAGAGAAATGCAAATTAAAGCCACAACATGATACCATCTTATACCCATCAGATTGACAAAAAATAGAAGTCTGACTGACAATAGAAAGTGTCAACAAGGGTGTGGAATAATAGGAACTACTAATGAAAGTGCAAACTGAAACAATCACCTTGGCAAACGACTTAGTATTACCTGGTAAAATGTAACAGTCATGTGTCCTACTGCCTAGCCAGCTATATATCCCAGAGCAATGATTTACAAATATGTTTTGGCCAAGACTCATAGTAAGAAATTCATTATGTGTCATGATCCAGTAGACATATGCACGTGTGCATATATAAATAACTGAATCAAACATTTCAGGAAGCAATTCCTGACTCGATTTGATAAGTAAAAAGCATAACAAACTTAATATCAAATATGACTCTTATTGAGGCTCTAGTGTATGTTAATACTTCCTAGTCTATACTTCAAAATTTTTAAATGCTTATGACAACATACTGAAACGAGGTTATGACCTGCAGACTGAGAAATATGCCCTGGAGAAAACCTTGCACACATGCACTGGAAGACATGTACAAGAAAGCTTCAGCAGCACTGCTCTTATTAGCGCCAAACTAGAGACAACCCATTTCTAGTAGAATGGATAAAGAAACTGTGCAATATACAATGGAATGTGCTATAGCAGTGAAAATGAATGAACTATAGTCACATGCATCAACATGGACAAAATTTGCAACGCAGTAAGTCTCTCTTAGTAGGCAAAGACAAGGCATGCAAGAGTCACACGCATCACAGCCAGGACAGTATCTTGCAAAGCAGATCAGACTTAACATCTGTAGCATAATTCCCTAGTGTGATGATAAAATGGTCCAGGGGGAAATGTAGAGCCTCCAGTTGAGGCAGGTGCAGAGGGGAACAAAAGGAATGGTATCAGAGAAGGGATGAGCCACTCATTGCCTCTCCCACCTGCTTATTGACTGGGATTTCCTTCTATTCTTTTTTTAAAAACCAGTTTATTAAGGTATGATTGACATACAAAAAGCTGTACAGATTTAATGTCTATGACCTTTTTTTTTTTTTGAGACAGAGTCTCACTATGTCCCCCTCAGTAAAGTGCCATGGTGTCCCAGCTCACAGCAACCTCGAACTCTCGGACTTAAGTGATTCTCTTGCCTCAGCCTCCCAAGTAGCTGGGACTACAGGTGCCCACCAACAGTGCCTGACTATTTTGTTGTTGTTGTTGTCATTGTTGTTTTGCAGGCTGGGGCCGGGTATGAACCCACCAGCCCTGGTGCATGTGGCCGGCACCCTAACCACTGAGCTACCGGCACTGAGCCTAATGTCTACAACTTGATGAGTTTGGAGTTAAATATACACCTGTGTTGGCTCAGAGCCTATAGCTCAGCAGTTAGGGTGCCAGCCACATACACCAGAGCTGGTGGGTTTGAATTCAGCCTGGGGCTGTCAAACAACAATGACAACTACAACCAAAAAATATCCGGGCGTTGTGGTGGGCACCTGTAGTCCCAGCTACTTGGGAGGCTGAGGCAAGAGAATCGCTTAAGCCCAAGACTTTGAGGTTGCTGTGAGCTGTGATGCCACAGCACTCTACTGAGGGTGACAAAATGAGCCTGACTCAAAAAATAAATAAATAAACACAGGTGAAACCACCACCACAATCAATGCCACAAATACATCTATCCCCTCTAAAGGCTTCCTCCTCCCCTCTTTATTATTTTCTATAAGAACACTTGATATAAGATCCACTTTCTTAGCAAATGTTTAAGGATATAATCCAGCACTGTCAACCATCAACACTATGTGGCACAGTAGCTCTCTTATTCATCTTGCATAACTGACACTTGGTACCTTTCCCATTTCCCCTGCCCTCAGCCACTGGCAACCACCATTCTACTCTCTGCTTCTACACGTTTGACTATTTTAGATTCCTTACATAAGTGGGATCATGTAGTATCTGTCCTTCTTTGCCTGGTTTATTTCACTTAACATAATATCCTGCAGGTTCATCCATGTTGTCTCAGATGGCAAGATTTCTTTCTTTTCAAAGGCTAAATAATATTCCATTATATAGATATGCCACATTTTCTTTATCCATTCATTCTTGATGGACATTATAGGACAAAGGCAGCTGTATAGATCTCCATCCTGTATGGGAACCCCATATTCTTACCTAGGGTTTGGTATAACTCTGTCATCTTGGGATGGTCCCAGCATGTGGTCTGAGCCTGGTGGCTACAAACAAAAGCATCAATAGCACCAGTGTTGATACCACTCACCCCCCCCCCACATACACACATGTGTGCACACCACTAAGTTAACAGATTGGACACAAGACCCTGCAGGATCCCAGGGTGAACCCTGAAGACCCCATAGCACAAAGGTCCAACTTTATCTAGGTTGAATCTTGTGCTCTTGAGATGAGGAGGAGAAAAACTGGACTTGATGGAGGAATCCCAACAGACAGGGAGTTACAGGGATGGGTAGCAAAAAGATAGGAGAAAAGGAGGTGGCAGGAGAATGGGCAGGTGACTGACCGGCTTCTGATTCAGATGGTCACTCACTTGATGTAGTAGGGAACTTTATTGGGTGAAATTGCTCTTTCCCAGGGAACCTGGACAGAGGCTGATAAAGAAGAGAAAGAAAGCAAGCATAGCTCTACTACTGCTCTTGAGGCCCCTGGCCACCCCGCTGCTCTATCCTCCCAAAGAGGTGGTCAAGCCCAAAAGGAGATGCCTGACTCACTGCCAGCTCTCAACAGCCATTGAGGATGGGGCTACCACTTCTAATGAACACGCTTCTCTCCCTGACGTTAGTGGAAGGGAAGAGGAAGAGGTTGTCACTGTTAGCCCAACTTACCAGAGATATGGCAAGGGTATGAATCTGACCTTGGCCACCCTGACAATCTTCTTTCTCCCTGAGCAAGCTATCACTTCTACCCATTCACTTGCAGACAGCTACATTGTTCCTGTGGATAGGAAGTGGACCCTACTTTCCTCTTGGGGCTCAAAGCCTTTCCCCCAGAAGGTTAAGCTTCTGAGTCCTGTGGGACAGTTGGGAAATGGTATGGTCCATTCCTCTCTCATGAGGAACTCATGCCTCTCTCTGCCCTGTGTTTTTATCCTCCAGATCTTTAAGAGAGGCTCAGGTTACTTGGCAAACCTACCCATTGCAGTTTACCTGGGTACAAAAGCCCTCTGTAGGTATAGCTGCATGGCAGGGATTATTACAACAACACTACTAACCACAGTTAACATTTCTTGAGCTCCTGCTATGTGACAGATACTATGCTCAATGCTTTGTGGATATATCTAATTTTGCTATCTGTATACTCTCACCATCTCCACTGCTACTCACCTGGTCTGGGCCACTACAATCCTATGCCTGGATTATTGCAATGTGTCTCCTAACAGGTTTCCCTGCTCCCACTCTGCCCCCAAGCAGCATAAGGCACATCATGCCACCCTTCAGGTCAAACTCTGCCGAAGGTTCGCCATTGCTTTCAGAATAAAATACAGACCAGGCCTGGTGGCTCACCCCTGTAATCCTAGCATTCTGAGAGGCCAAGGCGAAAGGATCCCTTGAGCTCAGGAGTCTGAGACCAGTCTGAGCAAGAGCAAGATCCTGTCTCTACCAAACATAGAAAAACTAGCTGGGCGCTGTGGAGGGCACCTGTAGTCCCAGCTACTTGGGAGGCTGAGGCAGGAAGATCATGCGAACCCTGGAGTTAGAGGTTGCTGTGAACTAGGCTGACACCACAACACTGTAGCCGGGGCAGAAGAGTGAGACTCTGTCTCAAAAAAATAAAATAAAGTAAAATAAAATCTTAAGTTCTTCACCTTACCTACAAGGCCCTCTGTGTTGTTCCTCAGCTCTTCCCGTCTTTGCTTCCTTTCTCCTTGCTGCTTCTCAGGCTTAAAGGCCTGGAAGCTGCTGTTCACTCTGCCTAGTAGGCTCCTCCCTCAGTCTTCTACATCGTTCATCCCTTCACCTCCTTTGGGTCTCTGCTCAGCTGTCCCCCTCTCAGTGAGCCCCCGCTAACTACCCTGTTCAAAATTGCAACACTTCTCCCTTAAGTCCAGCACACCCTATCCATGCCTTCCCTGTTTTAATTTTTTCCATAACCCTTGTCACCAATTGACCTTAGATGTATTTTACTGATTTGTTAGGGTTTTACTTATTTGTATTTGTCTAGAATATAAGCTGTCTGTGGATTTCTGTCTGTTTTGTTCACTGATAACAGCCCACAGCAGGCCCTCAATAAATGTTGTTGAACAAATAAAGTTATTTAATCCCCATAGCTCAGTGAGCTAGGGAATATTTTTTCCCTCTTTTTACAGATGGGAGAACTGAGGTTCAGAAAGGGTAAGCTATTTTTTTAAGCTTACACAGCTATTAAGTTGAGGTGCTATGACTCACATCCAGGTCTCTTGATTTGAGAGACTATTCTCTTAACTACTACCTTATACTGCATTATCCTTACTGCTTCTCAGATGCCATTGTATACTGGGCTCCCACCAGACCCCCAGGGGACAAGAACAGACTCTCTTGGAAGATGGCTGAGGCTCTGCCAAGCAAAGACCAGTTTGTCTCACGTACAGGAGAGGAAGTGTTGTGACCCCGGCCCAAAGTCCCGGTGGGCATCCTGGAGCTGTTTAAGCCTCTCTCCAACTGACACCTATGGAAAGAACAGGTAGGAAGTCAGCAGATTCATTCTAGCAGTATGGGATCTCCAGCACCGCTATGAATCTTTGAGTTCCCCCATAGGCTGGCTTTCCTCTGGTTCCATTTTTTTCTGTCATATTCATCCCCCCAACTCTAGTCTTCCCCTGGGACTCCCAAGGGTCAGAGAAGAGCATCCCTAATTCCAGCCTACATTCATTTTCTCTGCCTCTGTCTGTCCAAGTCTAGAAAGGTCTCTCATTTCTTTCTTTTTTTTTTTTTTTTTTTGCAGTTTTTGGCCAAGGCTGGGTGTGAACCTGCCACCTCCAGCATATGGGGCCAGCGCCCTACTCCTTTGAGCCACAGGCGCCGCCCCAGGTCTCTCATTTCTTCATTCCAATCACTCCATGAAGATTAGAGGTTCAGGAGCCCCTTCTTGGGCCCCATGTTCTCTACTATTCTTTTCTCATGCAGGTCCCATTCCAATACTCCTTCATTTCCTTTGAATTTGGAGAAGTTTCGCCCACATCTAATTATATTGAGGCAAGTCCCCATGGTTCACTCCCGGCTGTTGTTCTACCTGTAGCTGTTTCCACCGGACGTTGATCTGCTCCAGGGCTCGGGAATTCTCCATCGACAAATGCACATCAGAAATGGCAAGTTGGTGGGCTAGATCATTCACCAGCTTCACTCCATCTTTCATGGGGGAGAATTCTTCTTTGAATAGCTAGAGAACCAGGACCCAAATGCCACAGCAAAGAGTAGAAAAGAAAAACCATTATTTATTCACCTCCACTCCTCCCTCTTCATCCAGAGATTTTGTTACAACAAAACTACCTAGGTACTTGTCTATTTAGGCAATCAGGCTAAGCTGTGGGCGGCCACTGTCCTTATCCTCTTCCTCTCCTCTCAGAAAACATCAGGGAAAGAGAAGATAGTGGAAAACCAGAAGAGACTCAGTCTGAATCAGGCCCCAATTTAGCATAGAAACCGAGAGGTCCATCTGTAGTCCAGGCCAACAGTGGAGTCTCAGCAGCAGGTACACTGTCAGGGTCTGGGGGACAGAGCTAGGTCTCGGGGTTGACTACAATCAGGGAGGGGACCTAACATACCTTAATAGTCTGGATGTGCTCTGGGAGTGAATCAATGAACAGATCCCCAATGGGCTCCCAAGTAGCTCGGACTCCCTCGGCTTGGGTAAGAGTAGTGCTCAACTCCTCCATTGCCCCCTGGATCTCCAATAGCTGCTCCAATGTGTGTTCAATGTGACGGTGTTGGTCCACACAGCGGGCTGTCAGCTTCTCCCATAATTCACTGGCCACTGTTGCTTGCTTCCACACAAAGCGGCTAAGATTCTGGATCTTCTGTCTGGGGGAGGTATCTGTAAGGACAGGCAGGAAGCCATGTCAGGCCAGCCACCCAGGGGCAGCCCAGGGAAAGACAGAGACAAAGACAGCCCTTTATAAAGTGTGTGTGTTTGTGTGCATGCTCACGTGCACACGTGCATGTTTGTGTATATATTCAAATACACACAATTACATATGTTTCCATGGTTGAGCCCTTTTAGCACATTCAGGATTTTTTAAAAAATTAAACTGTTTACTTTGAAATCATTATAGTTTCACATGCAATTGTAAGAAATAATACAGAGATCTCATGTACCCTTTGCCCAGTTTCCTCAAATGGTAACATCTTGCAAAATGATAGTACAATATTACAATCAGAATATTGACACTGGCTCGGCGCCTATAGCTCAACCGGCTAAGGCGCCAGCCACGTACACCTAAGGTGGCGGGTTCGAATCCCCAGCCCGGACCCGCCAAACAACAATGACGGCTGCAACCAAAAAATAGCCGGGCATTGTGGCGGGCGCCTGTGGTCCCAGCTACTTGGGAGGCAGAAGCAGGAGACTCGCTTGAGCCCAGGAGTTGGAGGTTGCTGTGAGCTGTAATGCCACGGTACTCTACCCAGGGGGACAGCTTGAGGCTCTGTCTCAAAAAAAAAAAAAAAAAAAAAAAAAAGAATATTGACACTGACACAATTCACCAATTTTGTTCAGGGCCCCCCAGTTTTACTTTGTGTGTGTGTGTGTGTGTGTGTGCACTCACATGTACACTCATGTTTAGTACTTACTGTATCATGAGGATTTCCACATTTTTTTTCAAATGGGCAAGGTAAAAAGTGAGTACAATATTTTAAGTAGTGTACTGAGGTGAATCATCCAGAGTCTTGTTCACGTAGCCCTGGAATGTAATTCTGCATTTGTGTCTGTGACCCACTTCCATCCAAAGAAGGGAGGCATTTTATGACGACTCAGCCCAGAAGTTTGGTATAATGTACCCAGCTCCTCCACCTAGGCTCCTAATTTGTAGATTTCCTCTTGCTCCTTCAGACCTCCTCTTAGAAGCAGATTTAGAGCCCCCAAAACCCAGGCTAACACCTCTGTGTTGGAATAAAGCAGTATTTTTTTTTTTTTTTTTTGGAGACAGAGCCTCAAGCTGTCCCCCTGGGTAGAGTGCCGTGGCTTTACAGCTCACAGCAACCTCCAACTCCTGGGCTCAAGCGAGTCTCCTGCCTCCGCCTCCCAAGTAGCTGGGACCACAGGCGCCCGCCACAACGCCCGGCTATTTTTTGGTTGCAGCCGTCATTGTTGTTTTGGTGGGTCCAGGCTGGGGATTCGAACCCGCCACCTTAGGTGTACATGGCTGGCGCCTTAGCCGGTTGAGCTACAGGCGCCGAGCCAAAGCAGTATGTTTTTAAAGGGCAAACTGCTGCATTTATTCTCAGCTCAATTCATTTGAATGTTTTTTTCTTTTTCATGCCTCATTAAAAGGTCACATGTGATGGTCCAGAGAGCCACATATAGCTTTGGGTCATATGCTGGTGACCCCTGCTCCAGGCTCTGTTCTCTATGCTTTTTCCTGAACTGTGAATCTTGCTCCTTCCCAACTCTGGACCAACTCCTAGACAGAACTACCCTCCTAGATAAAGCTGAGAAAATGAGCTTGAGGAGGGCAGAGGGTATTTGTTTAGCAGTACATAGCTTAGGAAGGGGGAAGAGCAGAAGACACCCACCTTTGCTCTCAGAATGAGGTTCCTCCAATTCCTCAAATGGGTGCTGGGATAAAAAGGCCTGAGCCGACTCCAGTACAGAATAGATATAGGGGCCCCGCGACTTGACTTCTTCCATAAAGGCCTGTGGAGTTTAGCAATATGTCAACAGGGGAAAAAAATATTTCAATTGCTTTGCATTCTATTCTGCAATTGATAACCTTTCTTCTCCTCCATGTGACTTGATCCTCTGACACTATCAGGGATCTTTGGGCTACCAGATAAAAAGACATGCAGTCCTTCCTATAGACAGAAGAATAACTCTGACACTGAAAGGTCTATTTAGTATGAAATGGGTCTGTCTACGCCACGTAGTAGAGAGAAATGTGGGGATCTTGCTTTTCTGAAATACTCAGAAAGTCCTGTAAGGGACTTAGAGAAATCAAACCAGGATAGGCAGGACTTATACTAAAAAATTAAAATTTTTGTTGAGGGGTGGGGCCTGTGGCTCAGTGGGTGGGGCGCCGGCCCCATATACTGAGGGTGGAGGGTTCAAACCTGACCCTGGCCAAACTGAAACAAAAAAATAGCCGGGTGCTGTGGCAGGTGCCTGTAGTCCCAACTACTCAGAAGGCTGAGGCAAGAGAATTGTGTAAGCCCAGGAGTTGGAGGTTGCTGTGAACTGTGTGATGCCACAGCACTCTACCGAGAAGGATAAAGTGAGACTCTGTCTCTACAAAAAATAAAAAATAAAATAAAATAAAATTTTTGTTGAAATATACAGAGTACACAAATCAAAAGTGTACAGCTCTATGTAACTAGTACTAAGATGAAGAAACAAAACTCTACCAGCATCTCAGAGGGCCCCCTGGTGGCCCCTCCCAGTTACTGTTCCATCCTTCCCTCTCAGAGGTGACCATGATCCTGACTTAAAAAACCACCGATTATTTTTGCCTATTTTGTCTTTAAGGTCTTGCTATATTGCCTAGGCTAGACTCGACCTCCTGGGCTCAAGTGATCTTTCTGTCTTAGCCCCATGAGTAGCAGGAACTATAGATGTGCACCACTTGAGTTTTGCCTAATTTTGAACTATACATGAATGGAATCATACAATATGTACTCTTTCTGTATCTGGCTTTTTTTTCTACTCAACATACTGTAAGATTCATCCATGTTGTGGCACATGGTTATAGTTTATTTTCTTATTGTATTATATCACATTCCGTTCTCATTTTTTAAGAAATATGGTTATTTTATAACTACAAAGGTAATACACATCTCACAAATATGAGGAATTTCAGGAAGGTATGAAGAAAAAAATTAAAGAGAACTCCAATTTTACTACTTAGAGTTAACCATTGTTAATATTTTAATCTCATCCCTTCCGGTGCTGTTATGTGTGTAGACATGCACACACATCTGTATACTTTTTTTTTTTTGTAGAGACAGAGTCTCACTTAATTGCTCTCAGTAGAGTGCTGTGGAATCACATCTCACAGCAACCTCTAGCTCTTGGGCTTAGGAGATTCTATTGCCTCAGCCTCCTGAGTAGCTGGGACTATAGTTGCCTGCCACAACACCCAGATAACAAACATATGCTTTAATTAATTCTAAGAACCAGAAAAAACTACCTTTTCCTATTCTTATAAACTCAATGCAACACTCAGAATATTTCTGATACCAGATATGGGCTTTTCTCCCCCCCCCCCC